GAATGGGTCGATGTCGCTAAGCGTTCGGCGCTCGCGTGACGCCGCCATAAGTTTAGTTCAAAAGAGGCAGGCGGCCGTGCTTGCGAGGGGTTGTGCCGTTTCGTGCTCTACAGAGCTCCTGCGAGATTGGCGCACGCGCAGAGAGCCTAAAGTTCCCTCGATGCATTGCGTCAGCGGTGGCGTAGTCAAACTGACTGGAGAGATCGGTCTATTGACTTTGACCCGCAATTCACGAGCAGACGGGATGTTTTCACGACTCAGCTTTCGGCGAACTTCCCTTCGCAGCTTGTCACGAGCCGGCGTCTTCGACGCCCGGGAGCACTTTCTTCAGGGGACCGATGACTGTTTCCTGTAAAAAAATTCCAACACTACAAAAAAAAAAAAAAAAAAAAAAAAAAAAAAAATTGGGCACGCGGATTTTTCGCGGGGGCAGACGTCTTTCTCGGCGCGCTCGACGCAGCGCCGACGAACAAAAAAGATGCCCGAAATTCTAGTGATCCCTTTAGCTTAGATGCCTTGTGTTCGACGTCATTTGTCATTTTGACGAGGTCCGGATGTCGTAAAAACAACTAAAGTCCGCGTTTGTGAACTACGAGCAGTTGCTAGCGAGTTGTTCGATGTTTTGCTTTCGTGGCCAGTTGTTGTCGTGGGCTTGGCTTATCCTAATCGCGCTTCCTGATTGGTTCTTAGGCTAATACAGCAATTTCATTGGCTCCTGACGATAATGAGATGCTCAGGACACGCACTGCCCACTTTTGGATGGATGGATGAATGCGGCTGAAGCTTTGAATCGGGCGGCGACTTGCGCCACCTAGCCAGTGTTTTGTTTTTAGACAACAAAATAAAATTACTGGTTAGGTGGCGCCCTCTGGTGTCTGCGACAGTTCCGAGGTCATTGATCTTTGATGGCAGTTTTAATAGACAAATCGGCGAAACATAAATGTAATGTTCTTTTTTTTTTTTTGTTGCTCATAGCTTATAAATTAAGTTATGTGACCATAAATAGACTATCGCCGGAAGTGTTTAGTGCCAGAGCGGCATTGACCGGCAGTGGCCCTCTCGCATCCTTAGTGCGTGTACACTCGTTCCGACCGACGAGAATGATCGTGTAACATTTGTCTCCTTCGATTCATTAGGCCCAGTATAACCCTACCGAACTCTGCTACCCTTCCCGGAGCAACCTACGCTGCCGCGTTCGAAGGTTCGTCGCGAACTATCTCGCACTCCTCAAGTTCTGGCCATCTTCGGATCAGACGGGCATCCCCACAAACGGCGCCCTTTTAGCCGCGCTAGTCGTCTTCGATGTTCAGCCGCTGGTGTGGCGAGCGACGTTTTCGTCTCGTCCCTGTATCTTGTGGTTCGTGCCGAGTCTTATCGTTTTCCTGGCATTTCTTTTTATCGGAAATGCGGACAACAGTGGTTCTTTGCCCCCTCGAAGGCGTCTGGCGGTGAGCCGTCTTTTGACGAATTTAGCGCACGCAGCGAGGAAACTCTCGGAGAGGATCCAAAAAAAGAGACACTTCGCCAAGAGGAGTCCGTCCGGTCACCACTGCCGCCCTCTTGTTCCTGTTCTTTTTTTCTTCCCCAGCCCCTTTTAAAATATTAGCGTTTGATATAAGTTACAGAATAATACATTTCCGCGTATAACGTCCCCCACAATAATGCTCTCAGACAATGCATGTACTGTTAACAATAAAAACTGTTCTAAGTGCCTGATCATTGCGCTTGCCGTCTTTGTGCGTGACTGGTTTAACCGGTGGGTTTAGCCACTGGCTAAACGAAGCACGTACAAAGCGCACGATCACGGCACCTGTAGCGTCGGACTTGGGCTGAAACGCTGTAAAGCGTCTGCTGGAAAACCCTCAGCAAACTCTACTCTCGCGCCCAAGTGATGGGCATACAATGAAGATGCGCCTGGCGACGCACGTGAGCCCCTATGTATTACCGGCAGACGCGAATAATAATCATTATAATACTTGCGTCGCGCCTGTGTTTAGACAACCGGAAGTTAAGTTAGCCTCAATGGACGTCGGGTGTCTCAGCTGTGAATGGGAATATTAGTCAGTGCGGTACGAACCGCTACGCTGGGGTCTTGAACGTGCAGCACGCAGTAGTGATACACGACCGCACGCCGGTACGATGCTCGTCCAGATCGAAACAGGCAGGGGAGTGAACCCGGGATCCCTGGGTTCTGCAGCGCGAGCTTTCGCTGCGCGCGCTCCGAGCTGGTGTGCGCTAGAGCCACTCGGCCACCGATCCCCCGGCAGACACCGGACGTGTAGTCGAACGTTGCGATCTCTGCAATGGTATGTCACAAAACTGAGGAGTGGAGGCGTCATTTGTGTATTGTTTCGCCGTTCTAGCTAGGTAGACGGCAGCCACGCCACGTGGACGGGACGAGGGAAAAGGACGTGGAAGGCCGCCTTTTCCGGCCCATCTCGCCGCTTGCGCCACGGCTCCGGGAAATGCGCAGAAAAAGAAGGGGCTTGCCAGATGATGGTCACCCCCTCGAGAGACGTGCGGTGTTTGTCTTGTGCGAGTGCCAGCGTGTCGACGGAAGTGGCTGGCGAGGATGGGAACCGGCTGCCGTTGCTTGCCGAGGGACGAGTCGCCCATTTCTTCGTGCAGACCGGACAGGAGGGCGGCTAGTCTAGAGGCACCTGAGACAGCCAGCGTTGCCCTAAGCTGACAGCGCGGTGGGAGCTACGCCCTCGTCGGACGAATCAACCGCGTCCCCTTCATCATCGGCGGGAGCCTGACCACGTGGCGAAATATGTAACTGGTCCAACGAGCACGTAGCCTCCACCCAGTTTCAGCGCACTGTCAGCTCACCAGCCTTCGTCAAGCTTTAGTTCGTCGCTGAACTGGTTTTGAAACACCCGGTCGGCGGCACATATTCGTTGGCTATGATGTAGCATGGAACAACGAGATGTGTGTGAGCCTCGAGAAGATGGGGTTTGAGGGACGGACACGCGAGGTAACATTGGACGCGCAAGAGCCGGCTTACGGGAGGCACGACTCCCCATCAGCGGTGCCAGAGGTCTGTGCTCCGCTGCTAAGGATGTCCCCGTCGAGCCTAGACAGACGCGCACTCGCGGGCTGGCAGAGGCGTGCCGCACATGGCGACTTTACCGTGTAACAGAATCTCCGCGTGGTGGTTATTTTTTCATTTCGTGGTCTTGCGTTGGCCCGAATCTGCGGTTGTACACTGCGGTGTAGAGCTCTGCTCCGTAGTGTGCGAAGCTGCTGGCGCGAGCACCTGGCTTCATCTAGCGTCTTATAATACGAGGACAGGTGGAACGAGATCAAGCCAGGTGGAAGCAGCTTTCACCGCTTAAAGTATACGAAACGAGACCTTTCCGGAAATGGGCTTCGGACCGCTGCTATTTCCAGTCTTCCTACGTACGGCATATGTCGTTCGGTCGCTCTCAGAAGCGGCCAACATGCGCAGTAGTGGAGATGGCACGCGGACTGTGATTTTGTAAACCTTGGCACGGAATACGCGTATGAGGCCAGTAGGCTGACACCCAACCTTCCGTGTCGTCGCGCACTGGGCACAGGCGGGCAAGCGAGCCTCGTCGACGTCCGTGCTGTCGCTGCCCAGTGGATTCGGAGCACAACCGCCGTTCCACGTCGTCCGCTCCTTAACGCACGCGTTTTTTTTTTATTTTTATTTTTTTTACCTTTTTGGGGAACGTACCGGTCGCTGGGGATTTGTCCGTCCGTGTCGTGGTGCTCGGAGAGCCGAGACGACGCGGTCGACCGCCGCTTGTAAGCCCGGTGGGGTGTATTTGGGGGAACTCGAATGAGGGTCACGTGGACGGCCGTTCTATCGATGCCTCTGGAGCGCAAGAAAGCGTGCCGACCGTTTAGTAGCCGGTGACAGACGCCGCCACTCAGTTACCCAAATACCGATCTATTGCCGGCTGGCTCCACGAGACAGCTATGCGGAGGAATAGTACGAGTGCACAAAAACGAACCATCTTGTGGGGGTACTAAGTTTGTGTACAAATGCACTACGGGTATTAGCGCAAAGATGTTTGGATACGCTTCTTATTGGTGACGTCACGGTCAAGACACACCGTGACTTCGAGATATGATAATGGCTAGTCATCGTCGTTTGCGACTGACAAGCTCGATGGTACGTGTAAAGAGCACGGTGGAAGCCTCGGGACTCATCGCATTCTTAAACCAACATTGTCAAAGTCTGACATTGCTCTCGTTTCCGTGTATGAAAGCAGAATTGATACCATTGGAGACGTCATTTGACCAAGCGTGGAACGCCGATTACAGCGACGCGTTTGTCCAGCTCGGGTGGCATTCGCCGTCCATCGTTTTTTCTGCCGGAGATTCGGGTGGAGCGACGTCAACTGTCTCCCCGACGACGACGACTCGCATGGCGATAAAAGAGCACACCGCTCGAGCACACGCGCCAACGAAGGCGTAATCGGGCACAGCTGACGCGCTCTGCGCCCGACCGCCGAGCTGGGCGACGTGGTTTGGCGAAGCCGAGGAAAAAGACAAAAAAGAAAAAGCACAGAAGAATTCCCTCGGGCCAAGAAGTAAAAAGAGAAAGAGAGCCAGCTTTTGCGTTTTATTTCTTTTTGCGCCGTTCCTCACAAACGCGCTCGTTTTACGAGTCGAGAGAAAGGAGGAAAGGGGGCGCGCCCCGATTGGTCCGGAAATGGAGAAGAGAGGGAGGGCATCACGCGATGCGGGCGCACCAAAAAGCAATTCGCAAAAGCGGAATGCCGCGGAGAAAGAAAGAAAAAGACGTAGAAGGGAGAGCGCTTGTGCGCGTCAAGGTGGGATCGCTGGCACCCGGCCAGGTCACGTGGGCTCGTCAGGTGGCCGCCGCGGCGGCGCTGCTGTGGGAAGCGGCATCACGTGACCTTCTGCTGCCAACATCGGAGAAGGACGAGGGACCGTATACCAAGCTGCGGGTCGCTTCGTGGGAATAGCCGCTTCGGGGGCACCTCTCGTCGACGCGCTTGCTTTGGGGCTTTTGGAACCATCCCTTGGGTGGAGGAGAGGGGGGCGATGAATGCGTATTCAGGGGGAGAGACCTACACAGGCAAACTCGGTGCCTAAAAAGACGAACAAGCAGAAAAGCGAGCACGCCGACTAAAAAATGGACAGCTGTTGGCTGCGTGGGCCGGCGTTTTCGCGGTCCGATTGTCCAGAATTTAATTTGCGGTGCGGTAGGCTCGCAGCGGGCCTTCTTTCCATATTTACGAAGTGTACCAGGATCCAACCTTTAGCTTTTCATTGTTTGAGCCTCTCCATTTTTGATACTCAATAGATTTCCTTTTCCGAAGTCTGAACCGCGGCGGCTCTGTGTACAAGACTGTGCCCACTCGGACGCTTCGTGCTTCGCTATATTCGGGCGCTGGGAACCGGTATTCAAAACGTTCGTCGCGTTGTACTACAGCTCTTACCGTTGTTGGGTTTCACCGAAGTTTCGCGGATCCCCCCGCACCCCTCGCCAACTGCGTTCCGCATCGTTCATTACTAGTTCTCTCCACGAAACGACGTTAACATAGTTCAGTGTTCGAGGCGCCGTGGATCCCTTCCTCGTTCCGGCACTTTCGAGGGCTCATTCCGAATTTCAATAGGCCGTTGCGAACGTGCTGCTGTGCCGTCCACCGCTATCCCATTCTTTGGCCGCATATCAAACGCTGCTGCGATGAGCAAGCCCCGACGGCAGCGCAAGAAGCCGTTAGTCCGGAAGGACTGGTACCGACCGCATCGATTATACATTCGGCACGGCATCGAACGGCCCTTCGTCGCCGCTGCAATTCTAAGCACCACTGACGCACGCATCGAGAAGTCCGGCGGTCTTGAGGACTTGCCAAGTGCAACTGGATCGAAGTGAACGGGGTAGTTAAAAAAAAAAAAAAAAGGCGTATACCTCGTTTTCGGGCTGGCGTCAGCTACCGGCTCAGAGAGGCTTTCCGGCGAGCCCCTCTCACCCGCTAACGCCGATGCTTATCTGGACAGCAGATCGGTGAGCGTACGCGTAGTCCCGCCAAGGCTTAGCGATGTCGCGATCGTCGAAACGGTTGAGCGGCAGCAGCAGCGGCCGCCGCTTTCCAGCTTGGCTCGGAGACTGCGGGAGAAACAGGGAGTGCGAGCGCGCCCTGGAAGAGCGCTCGCGAGCAGCGTCCAATCGGAGTCTGCCGCGGAGAGCCGGGGATGACGCGCGCGCGGAGGAACAGCCGTCGAAGAAAAGTTTTTCTGCTTTGCTGGCACGTTTCTGCGCGCCCGACTTCGCCGCGTATATTATTTCTTTTTCTCCCTTTTTGCTGTCGCTTGTACTTTTGGGGCTTTTTCCTGCGGTGTCTCTCCGTGTTCGGCTGGTCGACGGCGGGCTGTGGCTGCCGTTGTGCTTGCTTGCTTGGTGTCGTGCTGTTGCCCGTTGTGGCTGTTTTGCAGCGGCTGCACAATCTGGCGGCGATGTTTTGGGAAGAAAGCGAGAGATAATTGCGCCGTCCCCTTTGCTGCCCGGTGTAATTGCTCCTCCGTGGTGCGGCCCCCTCGCTTGCACATACATCTCTCTGGCGGCAGGCTTAGTCGCGACGTGCCTCTTTCCGTATGTATGACAGAAAACGCGGAGGATATTGCGGGGCTTCGACGTTCTCTTTTCATGTCGCTTTTGTTCGTTATCGTGTGCGTCAACGGAGAGGAGGCATCCAACTTTGTGTGTGGTTGTACCTCCCGGCACTTCGCTTGCGCGCCGCCGCTGAGCTCGCGGCTGCAGTAGCGTTGATGACTCTGAAATTCGTGCCTCTCTAATGGCAGCAGCGACGACATCGCTGATTGCGACAGGGCTTCTGGCCGCTTTTTGGACTCGAGTACTCACGGTCCATTTCAGGCATTTTTGTTTTTCCTTAGATAACTTTAATTTTATTTTCTCTGGAGGTTGCGTTCGGTGGATTCTGACTAAGCTACCGAGCGTTCCCCGGCCCATTTGGAGCTCCGTGCTTTCTACATCCAACCCATAGCGGCTGTGCGAGAACAGAGCTTAGTTCTGCCATCAACAAATCGTAACACACTCGTTGAAAAAAAAAAAAAAAAGGCAGTACAGGGTACAGACCGACCATGACCGTAATACACAGTTAGTTGTATGTGGTGACCGTTTATGTAAAGACAGTTGTATGTGGTGGCCGTTTACTTGACCCTCGGCTTTCGCCGACTTCTGGAGGCGCCGAAGCCGTTGCTGCCCCTTTGTGTTTGCAGAGTTCCCTGAGCGCCTCGTTGTCGGCTGAGGTAGGCGACGCCGGACCGGACGCGCGAGCCGCGTGGAGGGACTTTGAGCGTCTCGCCTGCAGCAGACACGTAGGAGCGCGGGAACCGTCGTGTTCGTCGAACCCGATCAGGGCGTCACAGTAGACGCAACGGAAGCCGTGCCGCGACGGCTCGGACACTGGCGCAAAACGACGCCGCCGAGTCTCGGGAGAGCCGCCTGTTGCCGCCGGAACGCGATGGTGCGAAATTGGCTCGCTGAGCGTGGAAAGTTCCCAGTGCGCGTCGTCGTTTGCGGCCTAGGTAGCGTTGACCAGTACTGATGTGTCCGGGCCCTTCTCTATGGATGCCGAAGGGTGAGGTATATTCTTGTGAATATAGACACTGCCCCCCCCCCCCCCCCCCCCCCCTCTCCTCCCCCCGAAAATGTTACTGTATATTATTGTTGACCGTTTGCTCGCTCGTCTCCCGTTGTTGCGTCACTGCGTGTGGACGTGTAGTGCGAGAAGCCCAGAATCGACCTTGTCCTCCCGCCAGTCATATCGCTGTTGTCAAAAATCACAGAAGCTGCGAGAGCTTCATCGCTCGCGTCTGGAACGTGCATGGCGCGGTACGACTAGCCGGAACACGACATCGGCGCTTCCTCGTACTTTGCCCGGACACGGTACTAATGAAGAGTTTGAGCGGAGGATAACGGATACGCGATGATCCGCGGCTGCCGCCACGTTTGCGCATGCGCCGTATCGTTATCGGAATGACGCAAAACTTTCTATTGACCAGCATTTACCGGCTAAGGCTGTGAACCGAACGAACACTTTTTCGTCGCCCTTGTGGGTGCAAAACCGGCGGTCGCTCGTTCGTGATAACTGTGTACGTTCTGCAGATACGCTTGTTCGTCGTCCCTATCTCCCCCTGTTTTCGTTTTGCATATGTGTCGATGGACGCCAGCTACCACCCGACTGCGTTCCACTGAACACGGCACAGCGCTGAGACACCGCCTCAGTTGCGATGTCACTCTCGTTCAGTGGCTGCCGCTCCACGTTCGGAGAGATGGCGAAGCGGAAGCGAGCCGTCGAGACGGGTCCTACAACAGTCTCTGGGCGCGGCAGCTCGGTGAAGCGGAAGCAGGCGCAGCCCAAGATGGCGGCGACTGGCTTCGGCCCAAGGCCGGGCTCACGCGCCGACTGGCGGGAAAGGGGGAGTCGCAACTCCACATTTGCGTCGTCCGCTTCTGGCTCGCTGCCACGGCTTCCCCGTCGACGGCACGCGCGCTGGGACGTCGCTCGGTTCTGCTTTGCATGGCGGGCGGCGCGTGCTGGGCTGGCTTCCTTCCGCATTGCGGCCGCCGTGGGCTTCTCTATCTCGCTCCCTGCGCCTGCCTCTTTATGGCCGAGCGAGCTCGAGTGCACTGTTACCGAGCCCGGAAACGACGGCGGAAAGTAGGCGTTTGTTTCCCCGGGAAGGCATTTGTTTATTTATTTATTTATTTATTTATTTATTTATACTACGTTATCCAATACGGATAGGGATAAACATTTTCAAATAAGGAACGGGGGTTGTCGGGCGAACACAGTTTGTTCCACGGTGCGAGGAATAAGGAGAAAACGTCTTCGTTCGGTCCATAGCCTCTGTGCAGGCGGTAGAGCCGACTGTTCCCTCCTTAATCGACAAAAATTGATCAAACAACGTAGGAAAAAAAAAAGGAAAAGAAAAACAGCTTATTGCTATTAACATTGCCCAGGGCTTCCACTTCTGCGTCGATTGCGCATTCTGCATCAAAGCGGGTTTCCTGCGCCATGCTGATAAAAATCCGCAAAAATGTCCGAAATTGCGCCAAACTGCTCCAACATCGGGTGATGTGAATTGGGCGGCGTCTGGCGCCACCTATCCTAGCCAAGGTGCACTTCCCTTTGGCAAAAGCAAACTCAAGTCTCGCTGAAAATGTGACCAAGCTTGCAGGTCTGAATGAACAACTACAAAAACTTTAAAGTGCAGGCTTTTGATAAGCTCATGGTGTTTGAAATAAACCAGGTGATATATGCAAATGAGCAGTTTAATAAGCTCTTTGTGTTTGAAATAACCAATACGTAATGACTTAGGTGAGCCGGTTTGTCATCCATCTTGTGTGAAGGTAGTTCCTCCTAGTTCCTCGCAAACGTTTTCTGGAAGGTGTTGATTTTCTAATTTTCAATGTCTTCCTGCGACCAATCTATCAAACTTGTGTGAAAAACTTACTCATGTAACATTTAGCAGCATCGAAAATTGTGAATCTACACCTAGGTTTTCTTAAGTACTAGACTTTGTACACAAGAGCGCAAAAGTGTTCCGGAAAATTATATTTAGGTGCTCCAGAGTGCTACAAAATTCACATTGAGGTGCTCCAAACTGCTCCAAAATGAATATTTTGGTGCTCCAAACTGCTCCATTATTAATATTTGGGTGTTTCAAAAATTGCTCCAAATCTGGTCTCGGCAGTAGCACCACTGAATGTCGAATATAACGAGACGCATAATTTAAAACAAAATTTAGATTATAAAGGGGAGAAGAACGCTGAGGGGGGAAGCGTGTAAATGTTTGTAGACCAGGGGGCGCAAAGCTACCGACCGTTACAAAGGGTATAGCCATCACCATGCACCCATCCAGCGCTGTTCTGTTCTGCAGGGGTCGCTTTAACGGTAGCGGTGTGGCCCATGTACATAATAATCCTTCTCATCGTGTGCTGCCATGATTGCGTCTGGATGCCTTCCCACCGCATTCCGGAACATTAACGCTGACCGTCGGTGACAGCAAAAGCCGGCACGTTGCCATCTTGAACTCGGTTTGGCGAGTTCCAGCTGAAGTAGGCGAATTCTTAGTTGATCTCGGCCGAATAATTTGCGATTCTATGACAGAGTTGTCGCGTAGCCCGGGGCGATCGCTATGGAGCATTGGCGGCTCGCTGACAGTCGAGGATCCCTACAGGATGCGTGAGTATTGACTGTACCCTTTGTGTTGGGCGACAGCTAGCGCCACCTAGCCGCCACGGAACACGGTCGCCGCACTTGACGAATCTACAACTCGGATAATTTCCCTGACAGGCGGAGTGACACGTTTCCCGTCTCGTTTTCGCTCGTGTGACAGCAGGGCAGGCCTTCGCGGATGTCGACGAGCCGTCCGTTTATTGGAGGGTCTCCGATGGATATTCCCTGTTCGGAAGCGTTCGTTTTGACCGCAAAACCCGTCCCTGCGCGCGAGTACAAAGATAAACGACTGTCAGCCTGTCGCGAGAGACTGACGGCTGCGCTTTACTCGGATTTCTTACACACTTCGCTCCGTGGGGTTTGCGAAAAGAACGTCAGTAAGAGCCAATACTCTTATGGTTCGGTTCTTCTTCCCCTCTCTATGAAGCTGACTGGCTGTCATAGACGTCATGGCTACGGGTTAACGTATTCGTTTTTTTCCCCCTTTTCGATTCGGCTTATCTTGCGTTCTTTTTGTTTTGGGGTATCCGGAAGAGCTACGTAAAGCATCCCGAAGGGTCACGATCTCGGTCCTAACCATCGGACGGGAGACTGCATCGAGGCTGGTCTGCCAGCCCGAAGCGCGCACTCCGAATCGTTATCGGGTTTACGAAACCAATGGGGCTGATATAGACCATTTGCTATAGCCACCGCGTGCCCCGGCCCGCCCCCGAGGAACCATGGGAACGGTGTTCCTTCAGCCCCCTAGTGATCGGTAATTTTGACCCATTGCGTACTTACGCGCTTTTGAGTGTAATCCGGAGTCACCCTGAACAAGCGTCGTGTAGGGTCCGAGGACCTGTCATACCACTTTTCATATTTCTCGTCAATGTCAGCGTAGCTTCGCTGACTGCGAGCTAAATCCTGGTTTCGGTTGTGAATTCTCGGCTTTTTAAGCAATTCTTGCTAAAACAACAATCGCGAGAATGCTAATATTGTAAGAGATTTCTGCAGCTCAGTCAAGTTGAAAGGTGGATCGCATGCACAGTACAAAAAACGCTGACATTGACGAGATATCTTAAAAGTGATAAGACAGGTCCTTGGACTACGACGCTTCTTCAGGGTGACTCAGGATTACACTCCAAAAGCGCGTTAGCACGCAATGTTTCGAAAATACCTAACACTAGGAAACTGAAGGAACACCGTTTTTCATGATTCTTCGAGTGCGGACCGAGGCGCTTGGGGGATCTAGCAAATGGTCTTGTCACTCACGTGGGCACTGCAATCGCGCCGCACTCGCTCTGTGTTGTGGGTACTGTACCGCACTGTCCCGCCTACCGCGTATTTCGTAGGTGTTTTCGCTCTTTTCTCCGAGAAGGATGTCTCATTAAGTGCCCTCCTTGCTGTGGCGACGACGACCGAGCCAAGTGTGACCACTACGTCTTCTTCCTTCGGGGTGGACGGGGCTTATCATCGCGCCATTGTCTCGTCGTGCGACCCCCGAAATTGCCTCGGATCTCGTCCTCCCGACTCGGCGCGTTGGCGACCCCAGGGAAGGCCCTAGCATATGTTCCTCGCGTCGCCTCGACTCCCGGTCGTTGACGCCTGGGCCCAGTGGGTCGGACGCGAGGGGTCGACCCAGCCACAATTAGAAACGTAATGAGAGCCTCATTTGCGCGCGGCTCCACAGTCGCCCTTCTGCGGTCTGAAGGCAGCACCTCCCAGGCAACGAAGCCGTAGGGGTATCACCGCCCGGTGGACATTTTTCACAACCCGGAGTGAGGATGCTTGAACTATCTCCGCTGGTACAAGCACGTTCGATGCAAAGCTTCTAGGAACGAAGATGGAAACATAACCGCGTGCGTAGCACATGCTGTACCCATAGTGACGTAAAGCCCCTTCATGTTTCAAAAGTAGTGGAAGGTGTGTCGATGCTCGAGGAACGCGCAGCCCTTGGGAAGATCATGGCGGCATAGCACTGCACTGAGCTAGATTTCAGACGCATGTTCTTCCCAGAAGTGGCGCGCGGCACGTGTCTCGAGCATTTCGACAACAATGAATGGCGCCACTTGTTTTTTCAAACGCTCTGTCAGTGCAGACAGATGCTAGCAGACGGTAATTTATGCCCCGTGCGTGATGGGACGCTATGCGGAAAGCAAGTTGTCTGCTCCTCGCGCAGGAGTTGCAGTAACACCGAGCTCCGATTGGCTTTGATCGGAATGATAGTGGGTAGACCTCAATGCTAGATGTCTTGAGGTCTACCCACCTTTTTTTTTCAGTTAATAAGAGATTTGTGTTCTGACATCATCGCAACCTCTGTGCAAGAGGCAGACGAACTTGCGTTCTGCATAGGGCGCCGCTCCACGTCAGCATTAAACGGTCGCGGACGCTAGCTGTCGCGTATCTTTCGTGGTCGCGTCTGGCGGACACTGTAGTGCCTCCTGGCCGAAAGAGCCCATTGGAGGCCGGCTGGGGGCGTACGTTGGACATGAATGCTGAGTCAGCGTATGGGCTCGTGTAGGTTAAGAATAAAGTGGAAGCTCCTCCTACCGCTCTCCCTCTTGGCAGAGCGAATGCTGGCGAGGAGGCGACCTTACCAGCGTTCGCTCTGCTAAAGTGGAAAGAAGTGGGAGGAGCTTCCACTTTCCCCTTAAGCTGTCACCGACCATAGAAGACATACATGGCCGCGACGTCATCGTTAGTGAGTTCCCGACCCGAGCGGCAAAACACCCTGAAACTCGACGATAGACGTTTCAATAAGGCAGACGCGTCCGTCTTGGCGACGCCGCCTGCAGCTAGCGTCGCGCTCGTTCTGAGACGCTGCAGCAAGAGGCGCTGTCGACGATGCTGACGCAAGCTGGATGGGGCGAGGCACGTCACATCACGTCACGGGAGCTAGTCGTGTCACTGCGCCCGATGCGAGGTCCTGTGGAACCTGCTGTCGTCTGCTGGCCGAGAGTCGTCTGCTTCGAAACCAACAAACTTTGGCGATGAACGTCCACCGCCGCAACGTTGCCGTCGCTAGAGTAAAGAGCTCTTCGGAAACAATCCACGAGACAGACATACGCGCAATTTAACCGCGAATCTGTGGCGGGTCCTTATAGGGGGATCTTGAGCGGAAGCAGTGGATTGCACGGCTCGATCGCCAACAGCCTAAGCGTAATGAAGGAAAAAGAAAAAAAAAAAAAAAAGAGCGGATACGGACGTAGCGTTACTTTTTTGGTCTAACTATTATTTAAACTAATACATTTGTCAATATTTATCCCTTATATATATATATATATATATATATACACAACACGGGCACTTCACACCATCGTATGTGGTCTCCGAGAAGGATATAAACGAATATGTGCAGATGAGTGAACCGTACGTAATCCAATGAATCAAAGAATTGAAGTTTTCAGGAACCCGCCGAAAGCCAAAAATTGGCGGAGCCAGGATTTGAACTCTGGGCCTCCCAATGTCCGGTCGGGTGTGCTAACCACTACAGTGTGTTGCAGTAGTGGTTAGCAGTGTTACAGTAGTGGTTAGCACACCCGACCGGACATTGGGAGGCCCAGAGTTCAAATCCTGGCTCCGCCAATTTTTGGCTTTCGGCGGGTTCCTGAAAACTTCAATTCTTTGATTCATTGGATTACGTACGGTTCACTCATCTGCACATATTCGTTTATATATATATATATATATATATATATATATATATATATATATATATATATATATATATATATATATATATATATATATATATATATATATATAAAAGTTGAAAATCCCAAGTCAGAAAAACAAAAACACCGAAGGTTTATTTCAATGTTTCGGCAAGTGTCTTGTACTCCACGCCTTCGGCCAACCCTACGCGACCATGCCCTATATATATATATATAATATCTTATTCTCGATGGAGATGAAATCGCGCGAGTTCCATTGCCCTTAGAAAAAAAAAAAGTATAACCGTAGAACTACTTTTTTTTTGTCGTGGAAGGCGCTGTTGCTGTAACAATCCCCCGTGGCCTCGACCGATTGCGACGCCTTAGCAAGGCTTCGTAAACGGATTATGGCTTGCCCAAGCGCACCCCAACTGACCAAGATGGTGACGCCCTGAGGCCGTGCTTGCAAACACTGGGCACCAGCCGATTACGAAACATGAACAAACGGGAGACACGTCGTTTTTTTTTTTTTTTTTTTTTTTTTTTTTTTCAATTTTATGCAACATGGAGACGTATTCTTGCTGCAAAGACGGCTTCGTGCTTGAAACCGAATACGTCCATTGGTGCTCAACTAGGCGGGGTTCGATGAAACGGTATTCGATAAAGCGGTGTTCGATGAAACGGTATTCAATGAAGTGGCGTTCGACGAAACTGTATTCGACGAAACGGCGCTCGATGAAACGTCCGGACCCAGTAGACCAACACGCTGTTTAGAAACTCATTTTGTCCTTACCACGTGTGGGCAGTGCGCATGCAAGCATATTCACGGAAGGCTGGAGCATCTGCGCATGCTCAATGCCAACAGCAGCTCCACCTTAACGGCGTGACGTCACAGCCGCTCATCTCGAGACACACGCTCAATTCATATCTAGGAAGTGCTGTAGTCATCCAAAGTTCTCTAGACACATTTTTTTTTATATATATTTTTGTTTTTATTGGCAGTTCCACGTTTCTAGGCTCGAACGAGCTCTCGAACCGAGGGGTCTCTCGCGGGGTCGAACGCGTGCTCCCCGCAGTCTTCCGTCGGCAAGCACGAGTTTTGTATTTTTGTTTTTCAATTTTATGTATCTTTCATTTCGTGTATACACCTCGCTACTTTCCCGCTCGGCGATGACGTAAAAGAAAGGCCTGCGGAGCGGAAAAATAAAACAAATAAAATAATAAAAAAAGAGCGTGCTTCCAACGCGGATGTTGTGGTGTGCGTGCCGTGGGGCTGCCTTTTGTTGTTCGCTACGCGTTCGCGGCGTGCACGTGTGCCACTGACTCGTTCTGCGGGGACGGAAAAGAAGGCGGGCTGCGGACAACAAAGGGCTCGCTGGCCGGGTACGCATAAACGTGCTGCCCCTTTTGCGGGGCTCTTTCCGCTTGTCGGGCCTCCTGCCAGGCGCGAGACGAAGGAAACAATGTCTCGCACGCGCGCGCGTTGCCCAGCGCCGCGGTCGCTCCGAGGGCGCCGGGGTGAACGACGATTCGTTCACTCCTAAACTGACGAGGCAGTTCTTCCTGCGCCAGTAGTGCTGAGTCACTGCGCTTGCGCGACGTGTGGCACTCCGTAGAAGAGAGCTACCCGGCCATGCTCAGAACGAAGCCCACTGGACAGAGGTTTCAACGCGCAGAAAGTTTGATCGTACTACCTTTTAAGTCCAGGCGCAGCCGAGGCGGCAGTGCGCACCATCATGTTTCGATGAACCCATCGTAAACGATTTGGCCAGCGACGAGACAAGCGACGGCTTTCCGGTTCGCTCTCGGTCGGTCAGTCGCGCGAGGAGCCAAACCACACGAAATCGACCGAGGCGATGAGCCACGTTTTCTAGAAATCCAGAAACCGAGCGACGCGACGAGCGACAGTGAGAAATCTCCGTGGCTCGTCGCTGGCTCCCTCACCGCTCGCTAAATCGCTTACGTGCGGTTCAGCCCCAAACACAAAAGGCCGGCCCCGGTCTCTGTGCGTCGTTATGGCGGGGAGCGTGATTACGCGTGGCGAGAGATCGATGTACGACTGGTCCGAGCGAACGTATTTCCCGCGGGCTTGTCGGCTCAGGGGTGAACGGAGCTGCTCTTGCTGCCTGCTCAACCTAGACGGTTCTCCTTCGTCCGAAGAGCGGATGGCAGTTTTCTTTCCCAAAAGAGCCTCGGCTTATTATTTAGCGAATCCGGTGGAAGCCACGGGAGTTCCGCTTCGATGCGGACAGGCATTGTACCGGTGTGCGGTCATGTGATCGTGTGCGGCGTGCTGGGGAAATTTTGAAGATGCCGGATGGGCGGCTTTGAACTCCTGTGGGTTCGTTTCCAGCCTGCGTTTTTTTTTTTTTTTTTTCCAAAGTACTATTGGGCTCGGTGCTGCCCCGTTTGCCTTGGGCTGGCTTACGAATGCTGACGAGCGTTCTCGGCTGCTCATTGGTCGTGTCACGGCTTTCTGCTGCGCGAGCGTTTTCGACCAAGGGCATTTTTGACCCGTTCGCCGAGTCCACTATCGGGCGTTATTTTGCCGAGCACTTCTCTCCAACACGCGGCTGGCGAGAGAGGTCTCGCGGCCTTCGATGTGTTCCTCCTTAGCACTCGTTTATCCACCTGTCGATGTCAACTTGCGTGCGGCAGAGATTTGCTAAGGAAACAACTAGAGATTTGCTAAGGAAACACGGGTCGTCGATAGAGTTCTACGTGAAATAGGAGATCAACATTTCAGCTCTCATCCGTTATTACTCGCCGTGGCACTCAATTTGTAGAAAACGCACCCCCCCCCCCCCTTTTTTTTTTTTCTTCTTTCTCTCCTGGTTTTGTTCTTGTTTTATTTTCGTCTGCGAATGAAGCTTCACAGAGGACAAACGCCCTTCGCTCATCTTAGCGGGCGAAACATCCGCTAAATATATTTCCTCGTGTGTTCAGGAGTCCGGCCAGTAGGCGCCTCCTGCATATGGGTCATATACCTTTCTGCTAGCCATGTACGCCTCCTGCGTCCCCCATTTTTATTTCGTGAAAATAAAAGATAAATTGATTTATTGATTGTATTTCGCTCCGTGAGTGTGAAATTATTTCTCGTTCTCGCGGTGACCGAAATAAGACCCCAGGGCTGTGATCGACACCCATGCTGCGCTAGCGCGCGGACGCCGTAGGTGTGACCGCTTCGCCTCAGTCTGTTCTGTCGGGCGTCGGAATGCACGGGCAATTCGGTGGCCAACGCCTCGAAGGACGTTCGCCATCCGAGTGCGAGGACGTCGGGTGGAGGTCGAGGTTCATAGATTCTTCCTGGTGGTTGAGCCCGCGTGTCGTGGATCAGCTCGGTGCGAGCCGGCAGTGACGTTGATGTCTCTCCCCGCAGGTATGGCAAGGTGCAGAGCGTGAAAATCCGCCGCGAAGGGGATGTGCTCTGTGCCACGGTGTCGTTCATCGACCTGCGGTCCGCGGTCAAGGCCCACGTGGCCGAGAACAAGGTGGAGGAGCGCCTGCTGCCCACGGACTACGTGGAGCTGCCCCCGGGCCAGGCCCTCTTCATCCACGAGCGCGACGAGCCGCCGGTGCCCCCGCCGCAGCAGCCCCGGGGGGCCGGACCCCCCGCAGCGCCGGCCATCGGGCTCTCGCAGGCCGTCTCGGTCGCCGCCTCCGCCCCGGGCGCGTCCCCGTACCCGCCACCCGGAGCGGGCGCCCGGAACCCCAGGTGAGGCACCCGCTTGGCTCGCTCGGGGTCGACAGCCGCCAGGCTTCGGGGTAACGGCACTCGGGCCAGCTTCCGGTTGCCCTCATCCCGAATCGCAGAAAGCGGTTTTCCGTCGTCCAGGGACGTCGAAAACAGTCGGCGACGGAGCAAATCGGGACTTCCCGACATCGTGTCTGTATATCGTGTGGAAACTCCCACTTTGGCAGATGGAACGCTGGAGAGCGGGCGACCTCCTCTCCAGCGTTCGTTCTGCTCAAGTGGGAGCATCCCCCTGAGGAAGTCGCGTTCTACAATCGCAAGTCTGCACTAGGGCCTTGAGCGCCGATACTGTACGCCTAGCCGAGGGTCCATAAACCAACACGCTCTTTACAGACAAGTTCGCGCTTGTAAGTTTGCGTAGTGAACGCCTGCGCCACGCCGGCAGCAGCGCCCCCTTGGCGGCGTAAAGTCCATCTAAGCCGGCCTTGCGTCGTGGCGTTGGGAGAGAGTGTGTACTCTCTGTCGGTGTTGGCCCAAGAACACCGAAAGAGCCACGGTGAACTAGCCTGGCGCGACGTAACGCAAAAGGGACTGCTGTTCCCCATTCGAGTAATCCGCCTTCTGCGCGTCGCCGCCTCTGTCTGGCGGGCTGAGGAACGCGTTCTCAGCTTGCGTGTAGCTTTTGCGGAATATCGGACGCAACACGCATCCGTCCACTGCCAATGACTTCACTTTTCTTTTTCTTGCCTGAGCGGCAAAAAAAACTTTAAAATTTTTTTTTTCTCTCGCGTTTATTTTTTTGCAGAGCATGTGGCAATCAATCAGCGCACCTTAGAAGGGAGCTAGCTTACCCAAAGAAGAAGGAAATCACTAACGCTGGTGCTGGTGCACTGAACATGTGAAACGTTTCTACGTAGTGTCCCTAGCACCGATGACAATAGGGGGATCAACATGGGCTTCCTTTTTGTCCGCAGATTCCTTCTGCAGAATACGGTGACTGATTTTCCGAAAGCTCTGTAAAATAATAAACGCGCTGGCATTTTCTTTTTTTTTTTTTTTGAGAAAAAAAAAAGGGGGGGGGGAGGGGTAATTGACGGAGCGGAGCTTAGTTTCATTACCGTATTCTGGGGCACTCTGGTTTCACCACGCACTTCCTCGACGCTTGTGCACGAGAGCGCCGACTCGTCTCTCTCCTAACTTCCTTACCGACCCCGGCGACATCTTGTACAAGACTTGTGTCGCAGACAGCGGTATGCCTGGCCGCTTGTCGCGGTTCGTCTCGCGTAGCGGCGGTGACGTGCGAGGGGAGACCACTCGAATGGGAAGGGGCCTCTTTGGGAGAATGGGAAGCCAGCCACCGTAGTTTCCGCACCACACTCGAAATAAGGTCGATGCCACTGGCATTCAGCTCCTGCTCGGCATGTCCCTATCGTTGATCGAGGGCCCGGACTCGTCGAAGAGGTGGGAACGTACAGTGTGACTCCGTAATCTGAGCCTTCTCTTTTCTGTCCGCGCGGAAAGAAGGAAACGAAATCAAAGCACCAACGTTTCCGGCGGTGGGAACGCGCCGAAAACGACGCTGCTTCGGTTTGCGTCTGCACGGACTTAAAGCCGAGCGTAACCCAGCTATCGTTTCCGGAAAACATCCCGGTCTCTGAGCGAGCTTACTATACTCATTAACAGAATAAGAGCGGCTGGGCGGTTTTTAATTTGTACGAAGCTCGGTTTTTAAGACTGGCTCGTTGCCTTCCGCCGTGCTTTGGTTGCGCTTCCACGCTCGAGGCTCAAAAAAAGCGTTGCCGAAGGTAGGAAGCTTTTGCTGCGGACCACCTCCCTGACGTTCTCATGCTGTCAGGGACTTACTGTACGCGAGCCCCTAATTTTCGCGAATTTCGCGACTGGGAAAAATTCGCGAACTTTAGGGAGGTCGCGAATATTTCTATACTCTGGACAGGCGAATTCCAGCCTTTAGGATAAATGCTCGCGAATATGATAACCTCGCTGCCGAATTCGCGACGAATCGGGACCGTGAAAATCGAGGAGCTTTACGGCGTATCAGCACGTTGTGGGAAGACGCCCGGCAGATTAGTGAGACCAGCGGCGACGTCTCAAGGAGGAGGACGACCCTGCGAATACCAAAGGACGCTTTGCTCGCGTGTGTTGTGCCCGACGCCCCACAGAACAACAAGCACCACGCCCCCCACTCCGTAGACGCGAGCGTCGTCTCGAAGGCGCCTTCCCTGGGCTCGGGTCCAGTCTCGGCTGTGTGCTTCGACGCTGTGTGTTTCTCGGGGACCTGTGGTCCGAGTGAACGCGCCGTCGCCACCCTCACCGGATGCCCCCCCTTCGACGCTGCTGTGTTTCCAATCTCCGTCCGTGTGCTGTGTGCCCCCGACGTTGCCCGGATGGATGGATGGATGCCGCGTGGCGGTGCGAGTGCGGCGATGACGACGCTCGACGGCGTGCTGCGTTGTGCCCGATGGATTATGACGACCCAGGATTACGTCGGGGCTCGGATAACGTCGTCGCTGTGCCCGCTTGTGCGCGTTGAGTGGCGTCGACTCCGCCCCCCTGCTGCTGCTGCCGTGGCCTGGAATACGCGCCCACCCTCGAGCCCAGGGATGGCGCCTGACGACCGCCGTCGCCCGTCTCGGGGGGAGGGGCGTGGTGCGAGTTGTATGTGCGTGTGTGTGTGCGTGTGTGCAGAGTACGAGTGGATTGTTGGTAGCTTCACATAGGGGTCCAGCATGCGTGAGCTTTTTGGGGCTGCGTGTTACACCGGGGCCGCGTGCTAGCATCTGGCCAGCCGGTCCGGAACGGGCTTACTTTTCGGTATGAGTCGATGAGTTGTATAGAGGGAGTATTCGCTGGCGGGCCATAACTGTGTGCGCGACTGCTGAGCTCGTGCTGGTGGCGAGCTTCCACGGTCCTTTTGCAGCGTGCATTCGGCACCATCAAGGTTGGCGGTCTTAGCTAGCAACCTATTAATGTGAGCTGGCTCTGAGCATGCGCTCTAAACATTGCCCTCAAGTATGGCGTCCAGTCATTACCCCCGATTGGATTGTATTCGCCGGGCTGTCCGGTAATGCACTTGAAAAGTTAAGATTCGCAAAAAGTAAGCTTATTCACCGTAAATTCACTAATATATATATATATATATATTGCCGGAACGTGATGATATTCTAATCATCCGCGTTCCGCCACTGCTAGTGCTAGCTTTGCACCTGCTGCACGAGTGCACATGCTTACTTGGTGCGCCCCCGAGTTTCCCACGAACTTCAAGTCGTTCTGAAAAGACTTGATCTAGTAGTTTTCGATGACGCTCGGTAAGTTTCTAATTGGAACCGTATGTCTATTTTCACTAATTAAAGTGTTAATTAACGAATTTTAATTAATTAGCCGACTTATCGAAAAGATTAGCCACCCACGTAATGTCCCCCTGGCCATACAACTCACCTGCACAAACCGGATTAGTGCATCTTTTACGAACTTTTTTTGTAATAGATCTGTTCGAATTAAAATGAAACACCCGGCATATAAATAATATATTTCTTTTTTATCGAATATGTAGGGAGAACATTTAATGTATCCGATATTGTTTTGTTGCGTACAAGAGCCTCCGGTCGGAAAGGAACGCTGAGTGTTTTATACTCGTTTGTTTGACTTATTTCTTCGTGCATTGCACACCCCGCCGAACCTCATCAAACAGAGCAAGTCTGCCTTTGCCTCCCTACTCTAAACCTTAGGCTTAAATTTAAAAAAAAAAAAAAAAAAAAAAATATTGTTGAGAGGGCTGTGTGAACTGACATACAAACATGCAAGGACGAAGGTAAGCGGTGTGATATCATTTGAAGAGGTGTGTGAAGAAAGAACGACCGTCCATCACACGTTGGAGAGACGTCAACCTGATTGATGCCCGCCAAGAACAGAATAAGATATAACTAAAGTATACGTCACGAAAGGGTTCATCGTGAGTGATGCTATACTCAAATTCATCTTAATATATATATATATATATATATATATATATATATACACACACGTGTATACGTCTTGATAAAGTAACCTATACGTAACCTAAAGTGCACCTACGTATATCTTAATTCTCCGCATAACAAGGGAAATCGGTAACGTTTTTTTTTATATTAACGACTTTACTAACTTTTTCCTAACGAATCGGCTCGCGATCTGTCGCGCGTGGAGCGCCCCACGCTCGGAGTGTCGCGCGCTGATTGGCCGATCGTTCAAATGTCATTCGTTGTAAATGGCATTCCAGTTGCCCGTGTGGCACGGGTATTAGTGAGGTAGGCAGTTGCTACTAAAGCCCCTCTATCATGGGAAAAGTGCCGCCATTCATTGTTGTAGAAATGCTCGATCGAGACACGGGCCGCGCGCCATTTCTTGGAAGACAATTTCGTCTGAAATGTAGCGCAATACTGTGCTGGTGCCGCCATGACCTTCCCAAGGGCTGCTTATTGCGCGTGCCTCGTGCATCGACGCACTTTGCGCTACTTTTGAAGCACGAAGGGGATTTAGTTGGTACCGGTTAAGGCACTCTTTTTTGTAGACGCACGCGCGCAAAAGTGAACACTCCTCTTTCTTTTTTTCTAATTTTCTATTTTTGTTTTGTTTCGATAACTACGAAGCTAATAAATGGACGCAGTCGAGGAATCCCCGCGGGGGAACCGTCGATCCATTTGGAAATCTAGGTTGGACGCACGGAGTTGTACCTTAAATGGAGTGTGTCGGCATCGGATGGGCTCGCGACCTCCCCCGTTCCCTGCCCCGATTTCCACTTCCTTTTTCTTTTTGGTCGCGCATCTTTGACGCCTGTCGATTCTCGCGCGTCTTGCCGGTTCGGGTCACGGTCGCTCTCTGTAGCGCGACGCGGCCACCGGACTGGCATCGGTGCGCGTCTGCGGCCATACCTGGTGGTGACCGGTGTGCACCTGTCCCGTTCTGAATCGCAAAAGTTGGTCAAAGTCCGGGTCAGCCACATAGCTTCTCTAGCGCAGACCGCG